AGCGCCTACCAAAAACTCATGTTGAGCTGATGAGCCACTAGAATAGTTGTTCGTCCAACCATCAAGAGATATTGCAATTCTTTGCTTCTGTTCACGCTAATAATTGTATTCCTCTCTTGCCAACCTCTGTTGCTAATAATTGTATTAAAATGCAAGTCAATATAATAAGATCACGTCTGTTGTTTGTGTTAGTGTTAGGTTAGGCACTCAGGCTGGTGAGTGTGAAAGTGAACTAGGACATGGTCATTGACTGACCGACTCTACTCTGATTGAGTTTCACTAAGTTGGTTAACATTACCAGTTTAGTGCCAAATTACTGTAGATGGATAGTGATGTAATCATTTCTGGTTATGTACCAATTTTTTCAGATGTACCAATTTTTTGGTTAAGTACCTCGTCACTTGACCTGCTCCCAGGTGGCCTGTGACTCAGAGGATAGTGGAACTCCCTAGTGGCAAACTGCCTGGTGATGAGCTACTTGGTGGCGAACTCCCTGGTGGTGAGCTACCTGGTGACGAACTCCCTGGTGGAGAACTACCTGGTGACGAGCTCCCTGATGGAGAGCTACTTGGTGAGGAGATCCTTGGTGGTGAGCTACTTGGTGACGAGCTCCCTGGTGGTGAGCTACCTGGTGACGAGCTCCCTGGTGGAGAGCTACTTGGTGACAAGCTCCCTGATGGTGAACTACCTTGGTGGACTCGTCATTTGACATGCTCCTAGGCGGCCTGTAACTCAGGGGATGGTGGAGCTCCCTGGTGTAGCGTAACCCGACTGCCCTCTGCATGAGGTGATCTCCTCTCCTTTGTAGGCGGCGGGAGATGGGGGACCTGTGAGAACTGAATCAGAGGACCCGGGGGTATTTTCCTGGTGGGGACTCTCCGATGCCTAAGTTAGCATTCTAATTGTAGGGAGCTTGGAGAGAAATGAGAGAGCTAGAGAGCAAGGATTACCTCCATTTTTTCATTCTCTCCCCTTGTCTTTGGGGGTCAGAGTCCTTATATAGTGGTGTCCTGTCAAATCAGTCGTAACAGCCTCTGTCAAGTCAGGCGTAACCGCCTTTGTCTCTCTGCCGCAACCGTTACTCTCAGAGCTGAGGTGGCGGGTGCAGGCGGATACTACGGAGTACGGTTCTGCCAGTCAAGGGACAACTCTCAGGATTGGCAGGCACGGTGCCGCCTAGCGAGAGACGTGGGCGTAGGTCCCCGGATCTGTTAGGTACAGTTGTCAGGCAGGAGATCTTCCTGCGATACGCCGAGCTGCCCCTAAGTGACGAGCTCTTCATAAGACGCCAGGTTGCCTGCGGAGTGGCCAGCTGCCTGTGGCGAGCTGCCTATGCCGAGCTACCTGTAAGGTGCCAAGCTGCCTATGCCGAGCTACCCGAGCTGTACCGAGCTGTACCGAGCTGCCTATGCCGAGTTGCCCGAGCTGCCTAGTCGTCAAGAGGCTGCACTTAGTTTGCATGAGGTGCCAGGTGTCACAATTTCACTAGAGGACCAAATCCACCCTCATCAGATAGGATGCGCAGGCAGGGGATACATGCTATATTTTGTTTTAAGAAGACAGATAAATGAATCTAATCTCTGTGTTTGAGTTTGAGAAGAGGGAGCTTTGACTGATGATGAATAGGTGGCAAAGAGGTGGACCGGTTTCGGTGGAGATCGATTTCTGATGCATCTGATGAATATGTAGCAAAGATGTGATGTATTATGGTACTGTACATCAATACCGATTCTGTAGATTTCTTGCTTTGCTTCTCCAATCTTTCTTTTCTTGTTTGTTGATTTTTTTTATTTCTTTTCCTTTAGTATTTACATTCGGAAAAAATTGGAAATCAGGGTTTTTTCAACAGTTGGGTATTTTTTTCTTTTACAAATTTGATGATTAGTGAAGGGCAAATTCAATATATATATATATATATATATATATATATATATATATATATTATTTCCTTAGTGTTTATCAATGTGTGAATTGTCAAAAAATTTAAGGATATTTTAAGGCAATAGATAAACAGTAAGGGTCATGGTTTTTTAAAACTGAACCAGCGACTGAACTGGTCAGGGGTCCGGTTATCGGTTCGAACACTCTGACCGTTCGACCCGAACGGCCGGCCCATTCTGACAAAACAATTGAAAAACGGTCAAAACCGTTCGAATGGTTAACCGGCCGGTTCAGCAGTTTGTTGACCAAAAACAACAGTTTTGAGGAAAAACAGAACCGGTCATTCTAGTTTTTCCGGTCCAACCGTCCAATCTGGTCCGGTTTTGAAAACCATGATAAGGATAAAGTTAGTTAATTTCTTAAACCATAGGGATACTTTAAGAAATTTGCCCTTAAGTAAATTAGTTGTGAACCATAGGATAATTTGATAAAATACAAACCATATGGTAGATTTTAGTAAATAGATGAAACTATATGAGTATTTTAATAAATAACCCTTAAAGTTAAAAATGAGAACAAAATATTCTAAAAGTTTTTTTTTTCCTCAAATTTCTCATACACTTCCATTTAACTTGCGACAGGTCATACGCGGAATGGAGGTGAAAAGTTGAGGAAAAAAAGGGGTAGGAAATCCTGATACATCTACAATTTAAGAACGTATTTCAATTTTTCCATGTTGCCATTTAAACAAATCAAAACAAACATTTTCACTAATATATATATGCTACTAAATTATTTTTCATTTTTCACATGTACTTTGTATTTAATAGAAGCGAATGGATCATGGTTTTTAAAATCGGATTGGACTGGACGGTTGGACTGGAAAAATCAAAAACAGTTCTATTTTATCCTAGAACTATTATTTCCCCAAAACCATTGATTTGGTCAGTAAATTGTTGACCCGGGCAGTTGAATTATTTGAACCGTTCAATGATTTAGTTGTTTTTTTCTTAATTTTTTATTTTTTGTCAAAATGAACCGTCTGTTCGATTCGAATGATCAGACCATTCGACCCAGGAACTGGACCCTGACCGGTTTGTTGTCCGATTCGGTTTTAAAAACCTTGGAATGCATATAGGATTATTTCTGCAGACAGATTTAATGTATGAGAAGCATGAAAAGCAAACGGTTAGAGAAAATTTCGTATCATCTAGAAGTCAGTTTTCTCAAAGAACGATAACATTTTCAATAAGCAAACAAGAGCAGGTTGGCTTTTTTAGCTGATTTTCAGCAATCAAACATCATATTGAGTAAAGCATAGGTTGAACGACCTGTTATTCGTTTGAAAGGAAGGAAATTTTTTGTGAGATTAGGGACCCCAATTAAGAAGTAGTCTTATTTGGCATACTCCTAACTTTGAAGAAGATGGGATAAAAGTCATAAAACCTACCCTCCTATTTTCTCAGCCATTCCGCCAATGTGATTCTTGAGGCCCATGTTTTTTTTTTTAATTTTATTTTATGGGGAGTTCTCAAGTCAAGTTCATCATCACCAAATATAACATAAAAGTAGTAGTCAGATAACAACCACAAAACAGTTGGGAAATGAAATCCCTGCAGCACCTACCTGTTATTCCTAAATCTTAATGGTAAAAGTAAAATTTCAAAAGATCAGCTTAGTATTAACGTTCTCGCTCGCCTATAGTCTAGCAGTTTTTCTGTTGAATTTGAGGCCTACAAGTGTGCAAGCAGCAGACAGAAAAGGGATTGCCACACTTTTCTGGGTTTATATTAAAAACAAAGAAACAAAAGGAAGACATACATAAAGGGACACAATGGGTTGAAACAGAGGAAAGAGATTGCCAAAATTTGATGGAAAGGCTGGTGTTTTTTCGTTGGAGATGGAGAGTTATTACCCACTTCTTTAAAGATCTGGTGTTAGTGTTTTGTTTCTAAGAAAATCTATTCCCGAATATACTCGTAGCAGTTAGCTAATACTCAATAGGAATGAAAGGAAAAAAGAAAGAAAAAGAAGGATAGGTAATATAAAGGGTAGGTAGCGGTTATCTCAAGCGATCGAATAAAGAGAGGGAGATATATCGGGCTCCATTATTTGCCTTGTCTGCAAGCAACTTCGTTTAGTTGTTAAATTGCTTATTTTTTAGAAGAAAAATATGAAACAGAAGGATGATTCGGACTTAAAAAAAAATCTCCCTCCCAAATCCCAATAATGACAAAAAAACAAAAAAAAAAAAAGAAAAAAAGGAGGGCTAACCTACTGTTCTCATGCCACTAGACCTTTAGCACATAGATGATTCACAGGTAGCTCTGTGGATTAATTATATTGTTCAATCGGTTGCACTCGTTAGATGCATGTTTTGTAATCATGGGTTTAGGTAATTGATGAACATACAATTACTATGTGAGCAATCTTTTGGACGGATAATCCCAACTCCCATCTCACCATATTACGTGTAACCTGATACATTGTATCTTAGAATACGATTCTAGTACAAGAGTATTTCCTTTTACTAGGAGGAAGAAAATTCCCAGCTCAAAGATAAATAGTTTGGCGCATGCATACTACAAGTCTACAAGACATGGGGATTTGCCGATTTTGGACACCCTCGGCCTCGGCCTTCTTGATCGCCACTTCCGCGTTACATACGCGCCAAGAGGAGAATCTTTGAATTTCGTATGCAGAAGGGGACCCATCTGAATTTCTCTTCAAACAAAATCAAACGAACTCCGTTTCCTCGAATCTGCAAAAGATAAACTAGCCCTTTTACACCAAACCATAATAATTTCTGAGTTTTGAGTGACTCTGATATAGTTTGCATCTTTTTATTTATTTTTTTCTTCGGGTAAGCGGGTGAATTTGCATTTATCTTTCACCCCGCCTATCCTTTGTGCTGATTCTTTGAGCCCAAAAGCTAACTCAATCATAGACCACCTTTTCTCTTTTCTCCACTAAAAAATGGTGGTGGTGGTGGTGGAAATGGATGGAGGTGCCTTATATAGTATTTCTATCTATATAAATAGTCGTCGAGGATGACAAAACAATTTCCAAGCGTTCTTCTTCTTCTTCTTCTTCTTCTTCTTCTTCTTCTTCTTCTTCTTCTCTGACGAATAAAACTATTTACTAGTGCTCTAGCTTAATTGGTTTCCTTCCATGGCCTACGAGCAACTTCGAGCCATGGGGTCGAGCCATAAGAGTCTCCAGGCCGTTTTGGCTGCGCCCGGGGTGAAGGTAAAGAAGGTCACCAGCTTATCAGCCGATGGTCTAACAGATTTCATTCAATCCATGATCTCCAAAAAACAAGAGATGAAAGACCCCTTCTATGTACTAGACTTCGGGGTGGTGGTGAGTCTCATGGACAAATGGAAACGTTCCCTCCCCAACGTCCGCCCCTTCTATGCTGTCAAATGCAATCCTCACCCAGCTTTCCTTGCTGCGCTTGCTGCGCTTGGGGTCAGCTTTGACTGTGCAAGCCGTGCCGAAATCGAGGCTGTCCTAGCACTCGGCGTCTCTGCAGATCGAATTATCTACGCCAATCCTTGTAAGGCCGAGGCCCAGATTAAATATGCAGCCAGCGTCGGAGTCAATCTCACCACTTTCGACTCTCGAGAAGAAATAGATAAGCTACGAAGGTGGCATCCAAAATGCTCGTTATTGCTTCGTCTGAAAGCCCCAGACGACGGGGGTGCTCGTTGTCCATTGGGACCCAAGTATGGTGCATTGCCCGAAGAGGTCACCCCTCTTCTACAAGCCGCTCATGTGGCCCGGCTAACGGTGGCCGGGGTCTCCTTCCACGTAGGCAGCGGGGCTACCCATTCGCGTGCCTACAGCGGTGCAATAGCAGCTGCTAAGGCCGTATTCGACACTGCCGTGGGACTGGGTATGCCACGCATGAGCATCCTCAACGTTGGTGGCGGTTTCACAGCGGGAGTGGGCCCACAATTTGAAGATGCTGCCGCTACCATAAATGCAGCCATAAAGGTCCACTTCCTCGATGAATCCGGTTTGACAGTAATTGCTGAGCCGGGTCGGTTCTTCGCTGAGACGGCGTTTACACTGGCAACCAACATCATTGGCAAGCGCGTACGTGGGAAGCTGAGAGAGTACTGGATCAACGACGGTATATATGGGTCCATGAACTGTATATTGTACGACCATGCTACCGTGACGGCGACACCGTTAGCCTGTACATCCAATCGTTCCAACCCTACTTGTCGAGGAGGAAAGACGTACACATCGACCGTGTTTGGGCCCACTTGTGATGCGCTGGACACGATTCTCACGGGTCACCAACTGCCGGAACTTCAGGTAAACGATTGGCTTCTGTTTCCCAACATGGGTGCCTACACGGCCTCTGCGGGGTCAAATTTCAACGGCTTCAACACCTCCGCCATCCCCACCCACCTGGCGTTCTCACCTCCAGCTCCATGCTAGACCGGTGTAGATGCTTTTCTCCTCGATTCCAACTCCAACGACGTCGCGGTTGTCAAGTAGCGCTTTCCTCTCTTGTTGGGGGTGGTTGTTAGTTGTTAGTCGTTAGTGGACGGACTGTAACTTCGCACTTTGAAATATATCTTATAATTTCTATCTCAGGTTCCATTCCCTTTTTCTTGGTAGATATACTCATAAATTTGGTTCTCACACCGTCTTCGTAATATTTCAGCGGTACATTTAAAACATCATCCCATCAATGAATAAGATGAGACCAAATCAGATTTTTTTTTGGTATGCAAAAAATGAAAAAAATTCTTGGGTGCATTTCTACTTTGCTGGGTCTTTGATATTTGGTGGGATTTTTCTTTTTTCATGTCATATCAAAAAATAAATATTTGCTGCGGATGCCGGATGCCATGTATGAGTGCCTGTTTTGACCAAAAAAAATCTAGAAAAAAAAGTTGCACATTGGAATTTGGATGCCTTTAACCATTCATGCCTAAAATGTTGCCATGCAAGGCCCCCCTACCGCTGCAATAAGGTCCAATGCATTCGTGAGATAATAACCTTTGATTTAATAAGGTCGGATGAGGTAAGTGTTTGAGAGGACCTCTCAAACACTTACCACAAACAACAAATGAATAAAATCAATGACATGATATGCCCTGTGTCAGACATATTGTAATGTATCGAGGTTCATCGAAACACTATTTTGAAGGCATTTCAATAAACTTGTGTTTTAAATGTTAAAGATTACTAAAACCAATTCCCTGTTAAAATATCAAAAGAATCTATGATATGGGAAAAACAACTGAGGTTGCAAATAAGGTGTAATTTATCAAAATTCATGGATGGGTTTTGATTGGTAAAACTTTTTCCATATCATATATTTTCTGTATCATAAATTTTCCCTTTTTTGGATATAATCCAAGTAGAAATGGTGCAAGATATTGCGAATATAAGGTATTTTATGGCATTAACAGATTCCGATACCTGAAGGGCCCCAATTGAATTAAAATCCTTATTTCCTCATTTTGAAAATATATATTTGTAGAAAAAGTTGTGTGCAATAGTCCACCTATACGGGAGAATATTGAGAGAATATTTTTTTATGTGGGGATTCTGGGGACACCTAAGGTGAGAAAAATACTACCCATTGTGAGATAATGGCGTAGAAAGCAGTTTCCCCTGCCCTATGATGGAAGCCCAGGCGGCACCATCCCTTGTTCTAGGTTGTGGCGTCGTGCTTAGTGATTTTACGGTTGTAAGGATGGCCTAAGTATGGATTTTGAACATAACCTTTGGCTTCCAATTCCAGGGCCAACATTTATGTATCTGAAATGTTCATATATCATGTACAGAACTATTCAATGAGTACCTTCACGGCTTCACCATATCATTGTATGTGGATGGGTTTTCTGAACAGAGCGCTGATATCAGATTATCATGTGGCACCTGAGTCCTGAGATGGCAGGCAAATTGCCCAAAAAAGAAAAGTTTTTTTTTTTGGGATGTAAATGGATCTATCATATTTGAATCAGGTATATCTGAATCCCATCCGATAGAAAATGCATACGATCTGAGTTGGCCCTTGATTAAAATTTGATTTGGATTTTTTATCAAATATCCAACAAAGGGTATCCAAATCCAATAAAATAGGATCAGATTTGAATCGGATGGGATCATAATACATTCCTTTTGCACCCTATGTTTGGTTTGAAGGAAAAAAGTAGGGAAAGGAAGGGAAAGACAAAGAAATCAATGTTTTCAACCCAATGTTGACCTAACCAATTTAATCATTCTAAATTTCTAACCATCACCCCCAACCATCCACTTCTACTAAAACCCATGAATTGGTCAAAAATCATTAACCTGATAAAAAATGTCTGACCCAAGTGGTTGGACCATTCACCCATTCAATCCAGTGATTTCATACTAAATGTGATTTTTTTTTTGGGTAATTTTTCGAGATCTATGCATTGTAGGCACCTCACCCAACTATTTTTGCCACAAAACCCTTTTTGTCTCAAATCACAAATTTTAGCATATTTATAAATAAAAATAAAAATAATACATATATTACATGTATAAGTATAAATTATTTATTAATAAAATACATATTTATATATTTTCTGATGTGACACGGTCTAACCTGTTTGACCCGGATGGCCAAATCAGTGATCTACAACACAAAAACACAGTTCGATCTCCGGTTCAACTTTTAAAACATTGGTTTTCCACTTTTCCCCTTTGTACAAAAGACCTGCCTCTCTAAGCTATACAGGTCTCCTTACAAATGTGCAATTGTATGGAATATGGATTTGCCAAGCCATTGGAAGGAGATCGGATCTCCTGAAAACACAAACTTTGTAGTCTTAAGCACATGCATCCACCCACACACGAAAAACATTTCCCCATGAATTTAATATACATGCGTGAGAGATATTCACAATGTACATTGGATGAGCGTGGAAATATTCCCCAGTAATTTAGCACTCCTGACAAGACGATAGAACCTTTTTTCTTCCTCGCTCCATAAAAAGGAATTCACCACTGTTTATACATGCATATTCCATGCACTGATGCACATAAGTCAAGAATAAAAGATGCCATGATAATCCAGAATATGGTGCAACGTCCAATGGTCTAATGTCCAATGACAAAGCTCCAACTTCTAAACCCATGAAGCTAATGTTTTCAACCCATTGTTGACCCGGCTCGCCAGACTGGTCGACCTGTCACCTAACCAGGAATCCAGGTCCATTACCCCCTCAACCACAAAAAATGTAGACCGAGTCACCAGCAAGTGACCTGCTTGAATTGTTGAGAGAGAGAGAGAGAGTGAAGATAGAAATTATTAAGAAGAAAAGAAAACAAAAACATACAAAAAGGCCTGGTTCCATAGAGAGAAACCAGGTCCAAAGCGAACGTCAATACCTGGGTCTACGAGATGGCAACACACAAAAAGCAGACCCCAAAAGCTACCCCCAACAACTAGGTCCAACTACAGGCCCTCTACAGAACAAAACACCACAGTAAGTCAGTAACAAACCCGGGTTGAACCATCCCACCTGGTCAACAATAATGGGTTACAAATTAGACCTCTTTTTTGAATCAGGAAATATCCTTTATTTTTGAGTAACTTTTATCAAAGTCCTAAAAACCTAAACCCATCTAAGTCTATTTTATCTGCATTCTTTATATATTTTCTGTATTTTTTGTCATTTTCATCATTAATAACAAAAATTCTTATATTATGTCACTCTGTTTAATATGATGAATTTAAAGACAAGGACAATTGATTATTGAAAGATGAAGTAGAAGGTAACTTGATTTTTTGTCATTTCCTCATGTCAGTGCACCAAACTACAAGGACAACTGATTATTGAAAGGCCGTATTCTTTGTCCTTCTTTAATTAGATCTTCTGGACAAAGATAATTGATCAAAGCAAGTAGTTGATCAAGACTACAGTCAGTCTTGGATTCCAAAGGATTTCAGATTGAGAAAAGTAGAAGGAAAGAGGGAGAAGAAGAAGAAAGCAGAAGTACACAAGGGTTTTGAAAAGGAGGGACAGATCGAATGAATCTGC